GGAACAGAGCAGGAGAGAAAAAGCCACCCTCCCTTTCAGAACTGTGAGAGTTTGAGCATGCTCTTCAACATCCCGCTTACATCGTTTTCTTTATCTCTCTGTCAATGATTTTCACGGAGCACACAAGCAGTCCGGTGTACGGTGCTGTGACTTGTACAATAGTCCGTAAGCACTGCCTCGGACGGCTTCGGCAAAATGAGATGGTGACAGTCGACCACTGCACACGTCACGTCGGTGAGCTCAAGTTAAAGTGAAGGCAACAGGGAGTAGTGCAAATCAGTCGATACACTGTCGCGGGGTCCGAGAACTTCTCCCCTAACACGGCGTCGCACACGCCGCACCCGCCGCCTATCGCAGGATTGCGATGGAAGTTTGGAGCGCGCAATTTGTGACGTAGGGAGTCCTTTAATTATTTGAATTGGCTGACCGCTTTCTTCAATTTCAATGCAGTCTTGATCGCCGCCTACTTAGGAGGAGTCATTTTAATTTATCAAGTCTAATAAACATGAAAACTAAGAAGAAACAGAAGAAAAAACGATAAAATCCAATAAAAAAGCAAGCTAGACAAGGAAAAATATCGCGTCCTATCGATCGGCGGGAGGCGAGGTGAGTACGGTAACTGCAGTGACATTTGCCGCATGCCGCAAGGGAGAATGCCGCGATAGGGGAGAAGTTCCGTTACCCACTATCGCGTAGTGGTCTCCTGGAGATCGCAGTGGGCTGCGCCGCGGGCGAAGTGGGCGGGGTTGCATAGTTAGCCAGACAAAAAGCCTCTTTATTCTTTATGCAGTTTTGCTCTAGTTTAAATCCCTGCTTATGTCCAGCTCTTATCAGCAACTTTCCCATATAACGTTTATTCTGCTGTTCTAATCCAAAACTATCACTTCTTTTGATTGGGTCTACCTTTTCACAGAAAAAAAAAATTAATAAGCGAAAATTAAACAAGATGCGACCGTGAAGGAGTATATTCTGAGGTTCCGTCACGAAATATCCAGGATACAGTAATACGTATTAACATAGACAATCTATTTATACAACTGCATTCAAGTGAAAACACAATAGACTCATAGAAACACAAAACGTCTGCTATTCTGGAATGTAGCGTTGTTTTGCTGAAAAAAGAGGAGGAAAGCGTGAATAGTACCGTTGCACATCTCACGGTAGAGATTACTACGAAGATCAAAAACCTATCTAATTATGCTGAATCACCCATCAAAGAGGTGAGAATGTGTTGAAATTATGAATATCTTAACACCAGCATTAACATTAATAAGCAAGGCAGCTCAGAATACAGTGGCTGTATTGTACTTGTTCTGCCATAGAACAAGAATCAGTGTGACACCATACATTCCAGCGGCTATCCAGCACTGCATTGCTTTTTCGCTATATTTACTCTCAATATCTCTGAAAAATAATATGAGAAGAAGTCTTTGAGGAGAGGTAAGAAACATAGAAAAGGAGCAGAATTTATTATATGATGAGAGCATCAGTCGAATATGTTATTCTACTTAAGAAATACACTTAAAAAATTCTGGAATATCGTTTTCTAGTGTCTGCATTACCCTTTACTATCACTATATTGAGTCTGAAACTCTTGAAATATCGGGTAAAAGTAAGTGGAAAATGTATATAAATACACCGCCCACTATTTTCTGCTCTTTTTCAGGACTATGCAAATTGGCAAAAAAAGTGGTGGGTATTAATGAGCGCAGCCGCACATGGCCTTACACAAATAGATATGGTGTCACAGAGCCTATTTCTAAGAGCATCCAAAAGATTTAATTACCCCAGTAAACGGAACTTTATGAAATGACATATATTGAGCTCCCGCATTGAATTCCAGCAGTTTCTATAAAAGATTTTATCGTAAGAATCACCGAGCGAATACAATAGTAAGACATTGCAGGTCACATTCAATTTTTTTTGAAGCGTCACTGATTAAATAGCCCTTTTTATTGGTTGAGTAGCACATTTTGTCGATTGATGGATTAGGTAGAAAAACTAAGTGCTCAAGAACAAAACGATCTTTTGATTTTAACTAAGGGAACGCAGAATGAGGAACTAAGAGAGTTCTTAGCGCAATGGTCCACAAAATTTCAACGAATAAGAGAAAATCGCATTTCATCCTTTAAAGATGGAGATGTGTATCAAATTCAAATTTTGTCCACATCCACCCCAACTCCCTCCTCCTGCTCGAAATTTCATTAAAGGCACGATAAAAGCGTTTCTGAGAAGCCCCATAGGATGAATTCGATGTTTTTTCGCATACCATATCTGGCGCTATTAGGTCGGAAAATGGCTTAGTTAGGGAGTTATAAAGGCTCAAAGACTGGCCTGTGTGTATCCTTCGACGAGTTTCACCGGCACTGTAGAGGCTGTATCGATCACAAGGGAACCCATGTAGGAAGTTCAAACAACCTGTCATGACCCATAGCGACAGTGAAGGGCAGTTTTATACAGTTCTAGCTTTATGAAGCCAGCTCTTTGCGCAAACGCAACAACTGAAATCTCGTCCAAGTACCTTTTCCATGTCATTTCCGCCGTGGTAGTCTCGTTCAACCTCTATTTTTCCCTACTTTTAAGAGTCATTTTTCTAGAAATCGGCAAACACTCTTTTCTTCACTACCAATTAACTATTCCCAACCTATACTTCCGCTTTTCGAACAAAAACTGGTACCTCAAAATCATCGTGAACTGTGTCTCTGAGTTTTTCGCTGTCTTACAAAAATTTAAGGTGTTTCTCCATCGTTGCAAAATACCTTTTCTCATAATATGGAGGAAAAAGCTTCATGCTCAACCTATCCCCCAAACCACACTTGTCCGTGCAAACAGATCAGGGCCCAAATATTTCTGCAATCAGGCCAAAAATGTAAGGAGCTGACGAAATGACGACCTCAAGTTTCCCACCAATTAATTCAATTACAGCCTGCATAAAGAAAGAATGATGGAAAGAATTTGGAATAGATTATAGAAACGAAAAGCGTCTACGTTCTACAATAGAAGCATAATGGAACTCACTCAACAGTCGGTCCACCATGTCCGCCCTCTTTGGATTCCTCAGCAAAATGAAGATCAGGGAAAAGCGTTACAGCTTGTATATAGAAGAATACACCCAATAAACCTAGGAATATGACACCCCACACAGACATGACCATGCTGAAAAACGATTATGAGGAACAACACCAGAATATCTTCGGAAAATGTCACTGTAAAGCTAAACTGATGAAAGAAAAGAGGTCGTTTATTGATAAAACGAAGCTAGAAAGCGCTCAAGCAACTTATTTCTCAAAACTCACCAAAACGCCGACATCTTCGGTCCCATGAGTGGACACAACTTACGCATTTTGCCTAACTGAAAGCACAAATATTACCACTCCGCTGTTGGTTTTCGACCGATTTCGAAAAAAATGTATTACACAGTATAGACAAGCGAAGAACTGAATTTTAAGAGTTTCATTCAAATTGAGAAATTTGTCACTAGAGGATCACAGAGGAAAGCATAATCTACGAAGAGAAATACGCGTAATTCGAGTCCGAATCGACAATCGAATTTTCACAAATGCAGTAAAGACAGGTTGAACCGTTTCTCCACCATTCTGCAAATCTCTGCCCGAGTGACTAACTGATCTCCGCGAAACCCTGGAACATACCGTTTATAGTCGGAGTTTCGCGGCACAGCAGAAAGACGGAACGCGAGATTCGCATTAGCTTCAGAATCGTACTTATGTTGCGAATTGAAGAATGGTTGAACATCGAGAGAGCAGCCAGCCAGTAGACACGCGACAGTATTGACGAAAATTCCGAGGTTAGCAAACCGCTTCATCTTTACTATTTCAAATTTATACTATTCCCTGCCTCTCGTTCCCACGTTTTGCGAGATCCATACGCGACCAGTGAGGGCACCCAGATACCAAGAGAGACCAGATTCAGTGAGTCACGATCCCCAAACTTCAAACAACAATCAATTTTTTGCAAAATTTCCAACCACCGCAATCGACCGACCGTTTCATGTAGTGGATTCTCTATGACGGTGAAGTGTGGACGCGTGTTAACCAATAATAAGGCATCCACGCTTCTGAGCACGTGTTCGCGGAATGAGCCCAATTTAGGTAGTTAACTCGAAGGAGACCTAAGCGCTAAACAAATGCAATAGAATGGATATTTCCACGGTGACACATAACACCACACGTACCGGGCGTAATCCCCTTTCATGGGCCATATGGATTCAGCCAAGTTAACCAAAGGAAAAAAGTATTCCATGATTAATTCAGGAAAGAAGCGCCGACGTGCATGCCAACTGATAACTGTGCCTGTCACTGATGGACACAGATAAGTCTCAGCTCATTGAAGAAGGAAAATAATACTAGAAGGAAAGGTTAGTCGTACAGCATAACTCTCGTAACGACTCAGAAACACTACTAACCACGACTTCTGAATGATCAGACGAATTTTCTTCATCATCTACTACCATGAACAAACACTAAACAAAAAAGAAAAGCCCTTCATGAAGCAGGAGCATGTTACTTATAGCGCTCTGCGCCCGTCCTCGGCGGTGCACAGAAAAATGGGCGTGTCTGGTGATTTTCGATCGCGTACAATTGCGTACACTTCCTACACAGCATTTTCTTCAAAACTTACTTCCACCTCAGTTTGGGTGCCAATTATGAAAAATATGTTTTTCTTATGAACAAAACTTATTTTTCGTCAATTTGGATGGGTAAAATATCGTGGAAAAGCGGTGAGAATTCGGTAGTTCATCCATCTGGCCGTTGGACGTGTTGCGTGTTTTGCGTCCGCATCGATCTCCGGTCCTCCCTCTGCGAAATGAAGACCGAAAATTGAAAGTTCTACTAGTTCTTACTATTGTTTTCTGACGTTTTGCGATTTCCTTTAAACCACAATGGTTTACCGCATTGTTTTGTTCCATGAAGAAGCAGTAGTATTGTTAATAGATCCCCTAACATAACCATGCATTCGAAAATTGATTAAGAATCGATTAATGCGTTGAATCACTGGCAAGATGTGGTTTAAACTGTAGATTGTAAGAAATCGTACTAAAGAGAATTTGATTTACTATGGGAGGTTTGGGAGTATAGCATAGTACTAAGCATGACTAGTATGCTTTGGAGGGGTACAAAATGAAGTAAATGCAACAGCTTCGTAGTACTGTCATCAGATCGTGTTTTTTATAAATTGCTCTTTTCCTACTGTCTCGTTTCCCTGTGAATCGCTTTACTCACATATAGTGATCAAAATCTTGTTCGCGCTTTCTATTTATTCAGGGCAGTTACACATATCATGGCTATTAAACTGTTTTATACCTACTATGAATCGTCAAGTTCAATAGTTTCGTTCTAGATGGGTGTGGTCATCCCTCTGGTATCGGTGACCGCATTCTGGCTCCTTGTCGGTGCTGGTGGACCATTCTTGGTACCTAAAGGCCCTAACAGAGGTTTGTGCGAATTGTTTTGCGAAATTTTGAAAAGCATGTAAGTATAGAAATTAACTAAAAGCGCAACTCTCAACGAAGTTTCTGTCGAAATGATAGGGAAGAGTACTATGACTTGATACCTACCATCTTCACCGCTATTACTTTTGGCTTGAATTACTATAAAAAGTCGTGAACCATTTATGTGGCACAAAAAACCTTTGTGGAACATTCGCATGATCTCACTCGACTGGAGCGAGCAATCGAATAATGATATCATGATGTTATCTCTGAGGATCCTCATCCCTTTTCACATGTATTCGATAACTTCCGTTTCAGGCATAATCCAAACTATGATTATAATGACAGCTGTTTGTTGCCATCTTTTCTGGATCATGGTTCNGCAACTCTCAACGAAGTTTCTGTCGAAATGATAGGGAAGAGTACTATGACTTGATACCTACCATCTTCACCGCTATTACTTCTGGCTTGAATTACTTTAAAAAGTCATGAACCATTTATGTGGCACAAAAAACCCTTGTGGAACATTAGCATAATCTCACTCGACTGGAGCGAGCAATCGAATAATGATATCATGATGTTATCTTTGAGGATCCTCATTTTCGATAACTTTCGTTTCAGGCATAATCCAAACTATGATTATAATGACAGCTGTCTGTTGCCATCTTTTCTGGATCATGGTTCGTACTTATCCTAATTTTTTATGGGAGACTCAAATTTAACTCGATCTTTTGTAATTTCAGATTTATCTTCACCAATTGAATCCTCTAATTGGGCCACAAATTAATGTTAAGACAATCCGTTGGATTTCATTGAAGTGGGGAGATTCACCGACACCAGTTCCTCTCGGACAGTAAATGCGGGTGCGACAGCTTATCTTGTCAAGTACTTCACTATTAATAGCTTGTCATTTCACTGTATCTAAGCGATCTGTTAGTGATTTTCTCCTCCAAACACTGTCCGACGACTCCGAAAACATTTTCCCTTCAACCTGTGATGTTCTTTTGCGCGTAGACGCCTTTGTGCAGAGCTAGCCACATTTTTATATATGAATACACTTATTCATTGTACAGGAACGCCTTTACATTATTCGTTCTACTCATAAACACTTTTCCCTATTGTGAACTTTTACAACTGTAGCTCAGTATCCCGTGTATCGCACAGAAACCAAGGTTTCCGATGAGTATAGGCATTGTTTATGGTTTAATGTGAATAAATTGTCGATTTCTAAATCCGCCCAGCAAGTACTCTAAGTTTCTAGAAGGTTGCATTAGGTACTGGAAAGTGCTGTGGTTTACCCATATGTAATAATTTATCTTCAGAAAAAAGAAATTCTATAAAGCTTCACAAAGTCTATAAAACAATACAATTTGCACTCTTACGGGCAGATTTCGAATGATTATGCACGGCAGGACTTAAAGCAGTGTGACATGAAATAAATGTTGACAGTGAATAATGTAGAGTGAACAACCGTAGCACTGGTCGTTGTGAGAGACACGAAATGGCTTGGCAGCGTTACAATATATTTCAAAAATTTGCAACACACACATACACATACACATAAACACAAACACTCAAAAACGATAACAGACAGATCGATATAGTGCTTCTTTGTGCAATGGAACACAGTCTGATTGTTAAGGGGCTTTATTTGGAAACTGGGCTCCATTGACTCAACAAGGAAGCGAAACAGTAAGTACGTAGTAATTCACTAGAATAACATCCCTTCCGGTTTAGGCATAAGAAAAATGCGTACAACATGCGTAGCTATGTTTGAGCACAAGAAAGCAGTTTATGAAAGGCAAGTTAAATTCAAAAAAAAAAGAATTAGGTTACCTATAAAGTAAAAATTCGTAAAACATTAAACAGACAATTTGACTGAAGGAAGAGACAAGAGATATATAAATATAAACAACATTTGCGATGGAAAAATATAAAAAAAAAACGACACAAACAAAGAAAAAACACTGCTAAAATAATGATATCGGACATCCCAATGGGCAGTGAGTAAGAGATGGTTTAGTTAGCGTAAGATGATTAGTAAAAACGATCAATTATCGGTACATAAAAACAAACAGAAACATAGCTAAAACAATTCATAACTACTGCAACAAGCCTTTAAATCATCATGCCAGAGTCAAAGCACTGATGCTTAACCAGTTCCTTTCTAGCGATGGTACATATGCCAGCTTTATTAGCGCTATTCTGTGCCAGGTATTTGCTTCGGATCAATGCTAAACACAAGTCCTTTATATTTATCCGGAGCGCACTTGCCACAGTAACCGCCACATCGACCATCAATCACAGCATTATTCTGAAAGAGAATCATGCCATAAAGTCAGAACTGAATTCATTTGAGAGAAAATGCCGACATTACGGGGTTAAAGAGATGTCACTGCTAATGAACAGCTACTTATGATTCAAAAAGTACCGATGATCTGTCAATTCTCGATGTAGTGCGATGTCCTTTGTCTTCCCATTGCAGATCGTCAACGATTCTCAACCCCGTACCACGGAGATCCACAGAGAATCGGCCCTAGAGCAAATGACAACTTTTTAAAGCCCTTTATAAGCCTTATAACACTTATAAAGATGTCGTGACGGTCACGATTCCCTCACCTGGGGACAGTCCTTCATGCTGTAGCAGTCACCCGCAGTACCGTACGGAACGAACGAGCCATGCAACGTGTCAGCAAAGACCATGTCGTTGACTAAATGAAGACTTTTACACAAACACTTTGACGTTTTTTGCTTCGATTGAGATTGAAGTGATGTCATTGCTGCCCGGTTTGAATCTCCCTCGCGCATCGCTTTTTACACAGCCACAAAAGGATGGCCTACCAGGGTATGTTCCACGGTTTGAGGCGGAATCGAAAAAAAATCATACTTTGGGCGTTCAGAATTCTACCAACAACATTTCATGCAGACCTCACTGGATAATAATTAAGAAATTAACATAAATATGCAGTACTTACTATTGAATTTGCGATTGAGCAGATCGACACGAACTTTTCTGAAATGGGTCAAACCCGCATTTGCATCGCCATCGTCGGTACATTGGCACGAATCATTCCTTTCGCCATTGAATGGACAAGTATGAGGGTAGATCAAACTAAAATTCTTCGTTAAGGAATGAAACCTGACGAAAAAATCGGTCCCGGTTCTCACATGCCCAGAATGGATACGTCAAAGAAATCCGCGTACCGTTTCCCATACACTTCGGCGAAATTAGTCTGAGGATTTAGATTGATATAGGACTTCGGAATCGTTTCGTTCATTCGGTGACAGTAGACGACGACGGGGAATCCATCCAACAATACCGTGTAGTTTCCATCAACAGAATGGGTGACGATATTCTGTGCACGGATCTCTTGGCAGGTGGCTGGCAGACCTGTAAATTAAATCATCAATGCAAAGGAATGTAGAATTATTTGTCACAGCCTCTGGAGTAATAGAAAACTCAAACAGAAGCAAGCAAGAGGACATGGGAGCACCTACAATTCCTTTGGAAGCACGTTTGTGTTCGACGTGGACGAGGTGAATTCTTCTCACAATTACCACGAGCCACCAACACTCCCATACGATTGTAGCAGCGCACTTTACGTCTTCGAACACCCTGTCCACATGTTTGCGAGCACTAAAAGTATTCAAATCAATAAGAGCAAAACGAAAGCGGGTCGGCTGGTGGGAATCCAAAGACATGATTTGTAAGCCTTAACTCTTTCAAACTTTCTATTCGCGCACGTGCAACTGGGCAGAATTTGATACCCTATTGCAAGCACCACATCTTCAACCGTCAAAAGTCCACTGACGGTCAACCCGGTGAACTTTTGACGGTTAAAGATGTTGTTTATTTCACTCCTCCGTTAGTATGCGAGCTTATTCCTCGAACATGTTTCATACTTCTCATCGTCAAAATTTTCCTTTATTTTTCAGTGCCTGTTACATTTTAATTTGGTTTCACCCATACAACGCAAATCGTCGACCAGGTGTGCGGTGTGACCTCATTGCCTCGACGATAGGATTGCACCTTTCCTTTTGCGGGCGGAGCAGAACATCGTCTGTCTCAAGATATGAACATCGTCTTCAAGCGAATTCTTATGTCAAGTCAAATGTATTGGACTCCAACTGCACGTAGGACTTGTTGTAGTACTCAGACCCCTGGTGAGGTCATTTTTCCGAGTGAACATTTTCAACAAAATAACTACTCACCGGTCCCCAAGGGCCAATCTGCCATTGAAATTCGGATTCGCATGTGTTCAAATTGCACTCTTGAGATTCAACAGGCATTGGAAGAGCATCACATTTCTCCTGCAAAGGCAACGAATTCATACAATGTAGAGTATCAGTCAATAGGATGAAAGCTCACCTTTGGCACGGCTGGTTCACTGTTTCTAGTAGCATTAAGCGTTTTCACACGACACTCTACGAAGCGAAGTTGGGTGCCCTTTCCGCATGTTTTGGAACACTGAAAATTTTCATTACTTTACCAGTCATTCGATAAGTCTCCAGACAACTCACAGTATTCCACGGTCCGGGTACCCACTCATAAGGGCACTTTGAAATATCACACTGTCTCTTACTAGGTGGAGCATGGGCCGCATCGCACATACGTGGGGCGGCACGTCTTCCTGCGTTATTCACGCAGTACACACGCCGATGTTGTTCACCCCTCGCGCACGAATCCACGCACTGAAATAGCCAAGAATGATAGATGTATAGGTATGGGTAAGGCGTTCTATTCTACGTCTATTGTTCTACTATCGGCACCACACGATACTTAATTCACCATATGGCTCTGAAGATGAAGTACGGCTTCTAAACCGAGCTCATTTTGATGAAATGCGATTGCCACGAGTCACGTCAACGCTGAAGCGGTGTGAAGAGGCGATCGAAAGGGAAGAAAATCGCGCCTACCTTAGACCACGGCGTAGTGGTCCAGTGATAGGCTGGACAAGCCGTCAGATAACAATTAGATGTGGTGGCCGGTCTGCGTAAGGAGTCGCACACGGAGTCTGGGGCTCGCATTCGACGACCACGTTGACAATACACTTCTCTGTGACGAACTCCTTGACCACAGGTGGCCGAACACTGAACAGAATCTGCGTTACGATTATGGCTGCAGCAAAAATGGGCTCGAAGGTAAAGAGAAAAATAAAAATAGCTTGAGCCATTAAATGATTAGCATTTGATTCCTATGTTTTTAGGCTGAACAAAAAGTTGGACCCAGAATGTTGATCAACGGCCCGTTTTAGATATGTTCCACGTCAAGCGCCGGCGCTCGACCATCTAGCGTCAATAAGGGAGGAGTCATCATGGATGCGTACAGTAAGGGTGGGTAATTTTTGCTTGGAGTTGTGTTTATACCACTTCTACTCCGTTCATGTATACAGCTCGATTACTATGGAATAATGTGACGAAAGATGTTATTACGAAAGAGCGGCACGCAGGTTCAGAAAACAACATGCTACAACGAACAGGGCGTCAGCGCCGCGCGACGCTAACGTGACTCACGAACGCCGAGTGCCGCCACTTGGCGCAAGGGCGTCACCGCTTGACGCTGAACTCTGAAAGCGTTCAGTAATGGTAACTGCGCAGCATCCTTTCCTCTTGGGTTTGTTCTCTTTAGGAAAAGTAAAGTTCTGCGCTTTGCTCCATGTACGGACTTCTATGAACCTCGGCATAATTATATTACTGAGTTTATTGTTGCTTTGAACTCTCTACGAGGTTTGTAAATATCCTTTATCAGGCTGACGTTTCGGCTGAATCGCCATCTTCAGAGTCTGAAAGGAACATAACAATCTATGAATATCCGATCAAACCACCGATCTCCACCAACCTACTAGTTGTCACCTGTTGTCATTGAAGACGTACACCAGTGTCAGCTGGTGGGGGGAACTCCAGTTGACACTGGTCGGTTGGTACCACCACTTGCTGGGTGGTTTCGAAGAATCCACAAAGTTACGGTGAGTGTTTCTCTTTTCGATCGCCGGCGTGCCCTGGAGATCTCGAACTTAGTGGATTGGTGGGGACGTTTGATCGGACATCCACAGATTGATATGATCCTTTCAGGCTCTGAAGAAGGCGGTTCCGCCGAAACGTCGGCCTAATAAAAGATATTTACAAATCTCGTGGAGAGTTCAAGACAACAATAAACTCTGCGCTTTGTATTCACTTTTCCATTTACACACAGTACACTTGCGTAGTCGTATGGAATAATGCCAAGTATATGTAAGTAAGAAGTCAGAAGTCGAACACAAATAAGCACAGCGAAGTAAGAAAGTATTGTTATAGTTAAACATAAANAAACGGCTGAAAAATTGGTAAGAGAAGAGAAACATAAAAAAGAGAAAAAAGACACACCGCAGACCAGGGCGTTCCTCTCCATCTTGGGCAGTGCATCACTCGACATTTATGTTCGTCGACCGGTCGCGACGCAGCTTCACAGCGTGAACTTGCTACAGTCGCGTTTGTCGCCAAATCGATACAGGCGACAACTCGTCGTCGCACTCCGCGACCACATTTCGCGGAGCACTGTAAGGGCAAGGCTCATTGAAGAGATCATGCCAAACATTTTCAGCATACAAATCATTCTTCGATGTGCACACTCTCAAAGACTGCGAGAGTACATGAGGGCACATGCCCTTGCAATTTGATATATTTCATTTTTTTTTTCGTGAAATTTTGAGCGTGCACATCGTAGTATGATATAGATAAAAGCTATTGATCGATCTATAACATCGATCGCGATTTTGCCTTTATTAATAAAAGAGAGAGAAAAGAAATGCGTTATAATAGGAACAGAAAACAGAGAACACACGCTCGTTCCTGTGAAGAGGAAACAAACCTCAGAGCCTAAGTTACTCTGAAAAAAAAAACGCTCTTAAAGTTTTGCTTTAGTTTCCCTCTGGCAAGTATAAACACGGGTGCTAGATTTTCGCTGATCATCACAAGGAGTGGGCGACACAAAAACGCCTTGTTCCGCCTTATCTTTGCTGTACAAATCGTGATCGATAGCCTTTGGAACGCCCATATTACTTCAGCTTGGATGGGAGAACTAGTTTATCAACCTAATATCATTTTTGAAACCTCTACAATGGACTTTGGCAACAAATGTTGATGTTGATGGATGTTATTCTGGAAAGCGTGAGCAGTACAGCTGTGCAGTAGTCGGACTATCTGGTGTTCTCTCGTGCATGTGGTATAGTGGCGAGTGAGCACAGTCACACATACGCATAAGCCAGGGTCAAATCCCGAACGAGTGCTTGGCTAGACCAACCAACTTTCTGGGCTCTTTCCTGTGTTGCTAAAATGCCACCAGACTAGCCTGTAAGGATAAAAACACGGACTTGTACATTGGCTGGCCACCGCAAGTCATTGTATAGGCCACATACGCATACATTACGCCACTACGATTCTGTATGGAAGACGAAGGCGAGGCGTTCCCCAAAAAGTGGAGTGAGACTTTACCGTGGGAGAAATGCAAGCGTGGCTCTTTCAAGCAGCATCTCAAAAGTCATCTCAACTTGTTTCTCAAATAAACGTATTCTTAGTAGGAAAAGTGGATGATTCTCGGGACTTTCAGTGTGTTGAAAAATCGATCGGCCTCTTTTCTTTCACGGATCTTTGAAGTCTTTGTGTAATGGAAACAAGAAGCCGTTTCCGAGAAATTTCAGGAAATTCCATGGCATTCAAGCAAGGCCCACCTATTGAGTGGAAAGACCTCTGTTTACCTTCTGTGTCACCTTCAAGATATCATTTGTTGAAGTTACAGAATACTGCGAGACCTTGAGCAAGAGCTAGTCCTCACTGAAGAATCCTGATTGAAAGGACAAGTATGACCGAACAATTCTAAGCCCTGCTCTATCATACAAAATTCATGGAATATACGTAATAACGGTGGGGCCAGCTGCTGTTTCGTCACGGCCACCTGTTCAGCACTGATCCAGAAAAACCTCCTGGAAGTGGGCGGGATTAATCAAAACTGCTCGTACAGTGCGAGTGGTAGCAGGGCATTCACATTTAACTTGTCTCTATCATTACGCCAAGCGGTTAAATTAGTCGCTCTCCGATAATACTGTGTCGAATGCTCTTGATAGCAATCAAATCTAGCTGTGCGTTGCCTTAACCACCTCGAGTAGCACAATAGTAGAATCTGATTGCGCATTTCAAATGCGGTGCCAGCCTAGGGCTTTCTTCCTCCCAGAGGGGTCTCTGGCGACCAATAAAAGGAAGACTGGACGGCTATGATGGTTCAGATCCATGAACTGATTAGCGATCCATGGCTGTGATAGCGCCAACTGACTCTTCCCTGCTTCCGCTCTCCTATCATCACCTGCATGTAGAAGTGAAAGGAGGTACCTGGGGACACTCCTCGCAGCTTGGGGGGACAATCATCTGAACAAGGCGACGACTACTTTCTGTTCGTTTGCGCTCTGTCAATGAGACAGCGATAAATGTTGTATAGCTGAAATCGATTTAGCCTGCTTGATTTCAAGTTAGTATTGATTAGTATTACTAGTTCTTATCTAATTGCTAGTTATTAATAGTTAATGTTACTATTATCTCTAGGTACACTCAAATGTGTCTGAGAATACCTACAGATCTACATAGTCCCATTCAAACATCACCAAATGTAAGCGCACGAGCGAGCCTCATTTTGCTAACTGTCCCTTACTAGCTAAGAGTGCAACGCTGCACTGAGGGAACTCACCCTAGAGAAGTATAAAAAGATGTCTCACGATACAAAATGGACACCCACGTTGGCATCATAGCTTATGGGATAATTCAGAGTGTAAAGCAACCTCCACCTGCGAATTGAAAAAGAGCAGCTTACTTCTTCAGATTGCGGTGCGGACAGACACGATAAGCAACGGCAAGAGCTGGTTCCACCTTCACCGATAGATATATTTTATACAGGCTTTGCTCGTTCTAACATGCATTCAAAAATCCAAACACCCACAATGTACACAGCTCATGCTCCCCAAATAGTCGCTGCTGAGAAGACTTCAAAGCACTATTAGTCTGCGGCTACATCCGAAAATTTAAGAACAATCACTCAATCGGAGAATCACTGAAGCGATGACTAACCGCGATGTGGGATGGGTATGAATTGATCTGAATCAGCCCTTTCGATGTCTTCGAATCGCAAACCCTCCGATTTTCAAGCAGTATCTATCCTGTCGGGAGCGCCTCACTTCAGGAAAAGGCTTCTGACCCGACTAATCGAATCCCCAGAGCGTGTGGTGCCCCCGCTTCGAAAATAGACTGGGATGGAAGTTATGACTCGTACCTCCTAAGCGAATATTCAAAAATTCTGAAAGCTAAAGACTGGCCAATTTAACAAATAACTCTTCATTTTGCGGGTCATCATATAACCGGTTTCCCCGAGTTCACAAGAATCAGATTTCTCGATTCTCCATGACCGCAGACTATGCAAGTTGCCACAGCCACTGCGCATGGTGCACGACAAAAGCGCTCATTTTAACTAATGGTCCACGTCACATTACGAATACAAATCCACTTTTTGTTCACTATTTCACGCACGACTATCTGAGGGACATGACCTCTGTAGGGCCCAATTAAATGTGCTGTGCAGTGCAAACAAATAGGTGATTGAACTGAAGTTGGTAAATGGTGCATGACGACATATATGGTCAAATATTTTATTAATGCTGTTATTATTATGATTTGCAGTTTTGTGGAACCCATATGCGAATGTTTTACCTAGAACGGACACAACCACAAACACAAAAACAAAAAAAAAAGAAAAAGAGAACACACAGTTACAGCAGTAATGATGTTGATGACGATGATGGTGATGATGATGAGAGGGAGCAGTAGGACGGCAGTGAACGTGGATGATCACTGTGAGTGGGTGAAGGGCACATCTCGTGAACACATAGGTTGGACGAAAACGGACAAAAAAGACGAAGGACACCACGTATCAGGCAGGCGTGAATAAGCAGGCAGTCGAGAGTGAGACAAACACACACAAAAATAAAAACACCAAATAAATTAAATTATACTATGAAATGAACAAAAGATGAAAACCTAGAACAAAAAAAAAAAAAACAAGACAACTTGCACATTCGAATTGTTCCCAGGTGATCGGAAAAAGACACTATGGGAAGCGCAGCCGCTGACTGTTTTGCCACTAGCCGCACCTCAGCCTACTGGTTATGGGAAAGATTTCAAGGATATATTGGACAGAGGATGGGAAAGCCCGTGCTTATACTGGTCAAAGAGATTGAAAAGGGAAAAATGATCAATCCGATACGAATAGAGCTGCAAAATAGAAATGAAAAAACGTTCTTTTTAAAACAAGCCTCAATTTGGAAGATTTTTGAATTCGTCTGCACTTCACCGTATTGACATCGACTGCCACCACCAACCGGCATACATTACTGACAGGCTCGAGTACGTGTTATTTAGTCTGATTTCTAACTTTGCTAGTACTGGAACGCCGCGGTGAAGGGCAAAAAACAACGAGCTCGACGGGAAGGAAGTATGTCGCGAGAGACTTTTGACAATAATTGGACCTCGTTTGATTGTCCTTCAAAAAAGCTTTCTTAGAAGGGCTAATAATAAGCACCAGCAACAGCAACTAGCAGCAATAAAAGCCTCTATTACAAATTCCTTTCAGCCATACTCGAAAAAACTCATGCCTAGAGTATAGGACGGAAAGAAACCGGCTGCTATTCATAACAACTAGGCGTAAAATAGATCGAAAGGCAAGTCTCATGTGCGCAGTCTTAGCGCAGCCGAAAGTATAAGCAGTTTAGCAGCAGAACATCGAATATCGGCTACAATCTTGTAGAGCGTGAACTACACGAACATGCGTATGAACTTACCAATTCCCATTTCCAACATCCTAGATTTTCCAACCAGCTTAAGGTGCAAGCCTTTTGACAAAGCATTCAACGGCAATGGGGACGGCTGGCTACTCATTTGAGTAGAGCGGGCAAAATCAGCGAAAATCTGGCGCAAAATAGCGGCAGCAGCAGGGGGAGAGCGACACATTTAATGGTAAATTCGCTGCGGATAGAATCGACGATGATAACGATGAGGAAGATGCATCATGAAGCTGCGACGTACCGGAGTCCATGGGCCCGCATGCCAGGTAGCGGGAGACTTCTGCGATGTCGGGCATGGTGACAGCTCGCAGTCGCGTTGCGTTGTTGGCTTTGCGTCGCGGCATTCGCTTTCGTCTTGCGCTCTCGCGCTCATCGCATCCTCGCACCATACACGACGTCTTTGTATTCCACCACCACACGTTACTGAGCACTGAAATGGAAAACAAATTAAAGACAGGTCAATCAAACAGGACGGATTACGCAGTCGGGAGACTTTGCCTTACAGTAACCATAGGAAAGACCCTAGACAATCAAGAAAAACTCACACATACGGCACAACGACAGAAACAGGGAACGGAATCGGGGAAGGAACCCTGCCCCAACGTGCACTTGCACTCGACAAGTCAAACTGCGCGGCAACGCAGTCGTTTCCTGCGGTTGTAATTGGCGCGCCAGTTTGCCGTAGAGCAGACTATGCCCAGCTGCGTAGGTGTCTACCCTTGCGTTTTCTGCTTTTTTACAGTTTTATTCCTACCATCCCCTGAGTTCTTTGTGCTTTGCCTTGGGTAATTTCTTGGAAAATAAGTGAATGAATGGGTCGGAGAAGGCTCTTTCGTCTATCGCCGACTTTTTGATTACATACCGCCAACAGCGATTGAAACTGCATTACGCAGACTATAAACGTTTCATAATCCCTCTTGACGGTCTGGCGTACGGTGTATGACCGGTGTGAATTTTAAACCCGAACTGTGGGCCGGGTTTGTTGTACTCGTCGCGTGTTCTAGTGCGCAGTCAAATGGTACCATTTGAAGTTCACGCGCGAAATTTGAAATTGACATTTGAGAGTCGAGGGCATGATTACGGTAATTGCTGCGAAAGCATTGATACGCGCGTGCGTGCGACCGTGGGAGTTCGCGTAGAAAACATGCCATCATGATATGGCCAATCATGCGGGGCCCAATCTCACAGCCTAGAGGGGCATTCCTACAACTACTCCCGACATGCACGCTAAAAATCTTTGGTCAAATATCAACTAGTTATAAATCTTTTAATGAAGCCTACATGGGTCCATGGAGATATTTGCCATGTATTGTTGCTTTTCGGTGGACATGTCATCGGATTGCATTGGTCAAACATTCGAGGCTTCTTCGTATCGTCGCAGATGAGGCCATCGCATGACACTGCACGCCGTCTCCATCCACCACCACATGACACCGAGCACTATAGAGTAAGCATACCGACACTTTACGGTGCTGAATGTAGAAAGGACGTACCTTAGTCCACTCCCCAGTGATCCATCGACCTAGTGGTGGCTCTCCTCTCGGGCATGTAGCCAATTTGCACGATCGCATCGATGGTGGACGTTCGGCGACGTTGCAGTCGGTCTCAGAGGCCATGTCACCAGATTCCGTTGCCACACACATCACGCTCCTTGACTGCTGCACATGAGCTCCACATGTGGCTGGGCACTGAAAACACATTTCATCCTACGGAAACGTCTACCATAAGTTCTAGTACTGATTGACTCTGCGGAAATCGTTGCAATCAGACAGATTATTCGCAGCGAGGATAGCTGTCCCACATCCGTTGGATACTAGTATTCAGTCGCGCAGAGTTTTATGTGTGGTTGTCTTGAAGCTTAACTTGCTTGCATTCTTGGTTTCTCACTTAGGGCGATTCCTTCGCTTCCGGCTTGGGTAGGCTTGAGCAGCCTTCATGACTACTGTAAGATTTGCAATGAGCGAGTGATTATCGATCCGCGACAAGAGCTGTCGCCACGCACCGGCCACGCGTGCGGCAATCGATATTGGCAGTTCGCCGCGTTGGGTCAGGGCTGGACTAAGTTGTACTTGCATCTGTCCTGCTTCGCTCTCGGTCATGTGAGGACATCACATGTGAGGATGTAGATAGGAG